CACAGGCAAGCACTGCAGCTATATAAGTGAGCTGCACAGTGCTTTACGATCGAAGTTCTACTGTAGCAGCCGCCTGACGCAGTTGTACTGTGATATCCGCCGAGTTGTAAAGTAACAGTCAGCCGACTACAGTTGGAGTATAGCAGCCGTCGCGGAAAGAAGAACCGGACGTGTGTGTAATTGTGTAATTGGGAGTGTGTGTGATACAGTGATACACAGCTTCCCTACCGTATACGTGTAGACTACTGAAGACAGAGTGAGCTGATTTGCGCATAGGGTTATAAAGTGTGAAACCCCGCAACAGCGGTAACAGATTAATGCGATTAGGGTTATAAAGTGTGAAACCCCGCAACTGTGAGATAATTGATTGTAGCCGTTATTTGTAGATTGTTAAATAAACCAATTAACCATCTCTACGGCGTCTTCGGTAACGCAAACACGTTACAGTATGTATGTATTACTGTGCATATTTGAAAAACGAAGAAATTTGTGTATACATTCACAAGTTTAAGGACATCAGAACCAAGCTCAGCATAACTTTGTAACCAGGCGTCTGTCAGATTTTTTGTTCTTGATTCCGAAGATCCTTAACTGTCATCTTATTGCGTTTTCTTAAGATACCTTCTTCTAATCTGAAGGCTTAAAAACGTAAAATTTACTGTATTCAAAATTATAATTCTCCCTGTATTTTTATATGGGTGTGAAACTTGGTCTCTGATATTAACGGAGGAACCTAGACTGAATGTGTTTGAGAGTAAGATGCTGAGTAGACCACATAGACCAGAAAGGGATGAATTGACAGGAGTTTGGAAGAAAGTACACAATAATGACTTAATAACTCGTACTCTTCGCCAAGTATAATTAGAATGATGAAGTCAAGAAGTATGAGATGGGCATGGCTTGTAGCACGAAATGAGAAGATTAATTCATACTGGTGTAGGATATTAGTGTGAATTCGGAGGAGAGTTCTCATAGGAAGACCAAGGCATAGGTGGGTGAATAATATTAAAATGGTTCTTAGAGAGATGCGATGGGGTGTTATGGTAAAGAACATTCGGGTTCCATAAAATGTTGCGAGTTACTTGAGTAGCTGTACAACTGGCGGTTTCTCAAGTAGGTCTGAGCTCCACGGATTTAGTTGGATGTCACCTGGGAGCTGGGTAATTGCGTTTCGGTGGAATATAATACTTAAAACTTCAGATCTATTTACTTTCATATTACTTACAACATAATGCATGTTTCACAACATGCATTATGAATAATCCAAGTATAAGTAGGATAACGTAAATAAGCGTGTTTATTTATGACGTAATTAATAAGTTATTGCAGCAAGAGACTAAATTAGCATAGACACTGAACACATGCACTCTTACAAAGGAAATAATCTTTTAGCTATAGCCTTTGTCTGCGGGGGGAGGGGGCAAGTCAGTAGCGTTGTTGGCTGAGGCACTGCACTACATGCCAGAAGGTCGTAGGTTCGATTCTCGATTTTTAGTTGCCTCAATCCTCCTAGTCACACTATGGTTCTGCGGTCACGTGAGCCTCTTTAACGGAAATGAGCACCAGGAATTATTCTGGGAGTAAAGAGTGTCCGGCGTGTAAGGCTAACAAGGTCATCGCTATCTGTGAGCAGGTTCTCTAGAAAATGTAGGAACCTCGCCGTATCACAGTCGTGTGTGCTTCTACAGCCTGTTACACGGATAGCGCTAGTGTTTTACTAATATCCTGTGCCTAGAACCTTCCCCTTTCTGCTGAGATGCAGCAACCAGTTACTCCAGAACTCAGTGACACCCTCACATATCCTTACAGTTCAGTTGAGTCTGCCGAACTGAACACCACAAGATGGCAGAAAGCGAAAGTAATGATTTGGACACAGCATATTTGATGTCACTGCCCGGGCGGTTAGTCGCCAGCTTCCCAATATATTGGCGCTGGTTCGAACCAAGTTTGTGATATGTGGTGGGACACAGCACTGGGGCGGGTTTTCCCCAAATACATCAATTTCTTAGCCATTTTACATTGCACTGACCGATCCATATTCATCTGTAAAATTACTTAGATATGATAACGCACACTGTTTGGTCCTCAGAAAACTCCACACTTTTTTGACATTGGTGATGAACAAATGTTAGATAAGAAATTAGTGAGAAAGCTAATTAATGTGTCACTAATATATTCCAGATCCAAATGTACGAAAATGATTGTTCTTCCTAATTAAAACTTGAAATGAGCAAACATGACAAAATTAAATATAAAAAGAATATGTTTGTCGATTTGAATGTTGTTTATTTGCCGTTGCAGGGTAATTAAATGAGGCGCACACTGTACGACAATGTCGACTAATACGAACTGTTTAAAACGTTGTATACTTCTAACTGTCCATCGATTTTCAAGAAGTTACTGTGTCTTGAGTTTCGCTGCAGCAACCAGGATTAACTTTATTTTCAGTTTATAGTATAATTTACTTTATCGTGACCAGTGATAATTTTATTCTTCAGGAAACAAACTTTTGTCTCTCTTGAATTCCACGCCTTCAATGGGAAACTGACTACAATAAAATTACAATTAGTAAAGTACGGAATTACCTGCATGATGGTTACGAGTTCGTATCCCGGACTGCTGACAGTGTCAAAGGGGTACTGCGCTCTGTACATCAATTCATGGGATGCATACATCCGTACTCCTGATTGTAACAGATGAGAGAAAAGGGAGATTGCGTAGACACATTTCAAAACTTCCTGAAGGTGCGGTATCCACCCCGCTAGTGTACGGTGTCCGGTGTGAGGATCTCTGGTCGGCTGGTCTTCCCATGTGAAGGATTCCGTGAGACGAAGCAGGCGCTCAAAATCATGTAAACGCCAGCTGGAACACACGCCGAAACAAAAATGTTGAAAGACATAGACTTTTCGGTGGTTACATGATATAGTCTCGTAGGTCACAGACGTTTCGGAAGATGGTGTTACATCCTCCTTCAGACTCATGTGGAATATCGGTAAACTCGCAGACTGCACGTTCTCACATCTCAGAATACAGTGGTCACCGCTGAGGGAGCCTTAAAGTTAACAAAAATCTAAAAGATCGCTTCATGTTTTGGCACTTCCAGTAAGATATAGAAAACGTGTAACATATATTTTCATCCTTCTGTTTGGTATAGAGAAATTACTCCTCGTAATGACACTTTCTGTTTGATATAACATTATCGAAATCATGTAAATCGTAGTGTCAGGTTATGCCGTATTTCTCTACTTTCACCAATGTATCACTTGCACATTCACTTACATCACCATATTCGGACCTACAGTGCCTTATTACGATTAGTTTTTGTGTAGAATGTTTTCACGTAGCCACTGAAACACTTTCTGGTACCTGGATGTAAGCTGCGCATAGCACAAGAAGAAGATGTGATATTTGATTTACCTTAAAGTAAGATGCGCCCAGTATGCGACAGAACTCGCATTCACTATTCGGAAAGTCTTCAGAAAATTCTTCAAGTCATCGTTTTTTGTGAAGATATCCACATACATTCCGATGTACATCGCGTAAACATTGATTGCCGTCAAGACGTTGTAGATTGAGTTTAGTATGGACGCTTTCTTCATGTTGATTGGGACGCCTGCCATTCTCAGGAACGTTAAAATGACACGAAAGCGATTCTCCGTCACATCACACGCCTGCGGTTTCTTTGTGTTCATTATCAAATTCTTTTCTTACAGGCAGAAATACGTACGGATATCAAAGCAGATAGATGTTGTTGCAACTGATACGAACAGTTCAACTTTAGCGACAATGCACACACGGAAGTCTGCCACTCAGGGGCTACGTGGTTCAACTGAAGTGCCCAGGGGTTCCTTCAGCACTGGCGTGCAGGCCTGCCTGAGGCAGCGGCCGTTCGTGACCATTCAATATTTATGAGGTACACAGTTCCCTTCTGTCGCATCATTCCTTTGCGTTTGCGCGAGTGAAGGAGGCTGTAACTTTCTTCAGGAAGTGAACAAACTTGGCGTGAAAACTTTTATGAAAGATAATTCAAAATAGTTTAAATAACAATGCGGGGAAATTTTCATTCTCTCAATTTACAAAATTAACCGAGTTCCCTGTCTCCTTGGAGAACTTTTATGTCGATATTTCATTGGGGTTACAGAATATGAGGTGTAGTACTCAATAAATGAGCAAAATTCCTTGACAAGAAGCGAATGTCTGCAGAGATAAGGACACCTTTTATTTGTTACTGTAATACCGTGGGCAAGTAGTGGCTTGAGGCACTATGCTACAAGCCGGAAGGTCGCAGATTCGAGTCCAAATGGGGTGGAATTTTCAGTTTCCTTAATCCTTCTAGCTGCTTTCTGGCTCTGGGGTCTACTCAGCCTCTAATAGAAATGAGGGCCAGGAATCTTCCTGTGGAGTAAAGCGCGTTCAGCGCGCAATACCGACAAACTTGCAGCCATGTGTGAGCCGATTGTCTAAAGAATATGTGGGAGTCCCAACGTCTCGCACCCCTATGGGCTTCCACGGCCTGTTAAGGGATAGCTTTAACTTTTCTTAGTGTAATACTGTTAATTCATTGATAGGCGTTTAAGACACCAAAGCCTTAAGTGTCCCAGCGTTCAAAGGGTCAGAGTCGAGTAAGTGCAAGAACCTCGCAGACTGGTTGACGGGGCCCGCGCGTCCTATTCAGTATCCACCGAAAATCTCTTTGAAGTGCTGTCTGAGAATGCGGAGGATAATGCACGAACCACATGTATTGTCTGTGAAGAAGTGGCACAAGTTCCAAGAGCTGCTGTTAAATCACTCACAAAAAAAGACGGCACATTGCGCCCATTAGTCTGTTATGTAAGACAGCTAGTTCTTGGAATTGATGACGTAATACGCCTACGCAGGCATTGATGGAAAATCGATGTTAAAGTTATCATCCACCCGGACGTGGGTATTATGACATTTCGCAATACCGACCCTTGTGAATGCCGCCTCGTCAGTAAACAGAATTTAACCACAAACTGTGTGTTTACAAGGTATTTTGCTAGGAGCCAATGTGCATAACTCCGCCCTTGTACGGTGGTCAGGAGGAGTGAGCGATTGCACTTGGTGGATGTTGTGTGGGTAAGTGGGTAAGGAGAGCTCTCTAGTAGACAAGTGAAGAACCCACACCTACAACAGCTGCAATTCTTCGCACACGGGTCCCGGGTCTTTCTTCGTCTGTTCTCGACATGCGAACATCACGAAAACTCGCCCATTTCTCAGCAGGCATTGATTTCTAGACATGAGTTGACTGGAGCATCTTTTTTTGTTTAGTTTCTTTGGATGGGGAGAGACTGAGTCCACTTGGTACAGCGGCCACTGCTGGCCTATTTTGCCAGCCCCGGGCGATGCATGAGGAGTGTGGCGCTGTCTGTGGAATGAGAATTGGTAAAGGAAACCGAAGTACTCGTAGGAAACCTACCCTAGTGCCACTTGGTCCACCACAAATCTGACAAGAGCTGACCTGGGCTCGAACCGGGCCGCAGCTTTGGGAATCTGGCGATTCTCTGGATTCTCTTTCCATTTGCCAATTCTCACTCCTCTTACTTCATACGTCACATCTTGGAACCACCCCTCCCTAGGTTTGCCTCTTGCTTGCTGCCCTTCCACCCAGTTACAATTTGTGAGTAACTCTAATATTTCCAGTCGACACTGGTAAGCGCAAATATGAATGGTACTTACTATTGTCATAATATAGTCTATATCTTTGATTCAGTTTACTAAGTAACCGAGAGTGCAGCAAAAACCCCGCAACACCAGATTTGGTTAATCTCCCATGGCCCACCTCCCTGCAAGTAATTTTAGTTTCAAGACAATTCTAATGTCCGTTCGCAGTCTTGTAAGGATGTTTGCTGAGTGACAGGGGGAATAATTAGATACACTTATACACCGCGTAAAGTTTTTTCTGTACCCGAAACATAAGTTATTAACGTGTCACTTTTTTAATTGCGACACTAACTTCATGCAGAATTTAAAACATTGAATCAATAGCGTGAAGACTTATAAACTTGAAGAAATCAGTCTTTTGGGATTTGGCGCCGTGTAGATATTGTGATAAGCCTCCCAAGAAACTTCCGGGACATGATGACAGATCCGCAAGGCCACGCAAGTCCATGCTCGACTCCCATAACAAACCCGAAGCTTCAATGTTAATGCCCTCAAATTAACCTCGTCTTCCTCCCCCCTCCCCCGACACAATATTCTATACATGCTTTGGCCTGCTACCTGCTGGCCCACCTCCCAAGACCCTTCCCCTCTCCTCTCTACTGAATTCTCATCTCCATTCTCTTCCTGCTTTCATACAGCTGGGTTTATTCCCGACATTAGTCTGTTAGCACCTGCTCACGCTGGTTCCTAGCTCGCGGATTTTCTTCTTTCTTTTTCTACCCTGAAGATGGAGGCGATACGTTCCTCCGAAACGTCGGTTAACACAATATCTACACGCCGCCAAATCCCAAAAGACTGTTTTCTTCATAGTCACCGCCGTGAAAACCTCAAATCTTACATACGTTATAAACTTTTCACTGATATCGCAATGTGTATCCACAGAGATATGGGGGACCTTCGTGGCATTTGATTACTTAATAATGAAATGCCCGTGAGTTATTCTTGAATAATAACTTTTTTAAGTAGATTCTAAAGGGTTCTAACGATGGTGTATAACACCACGAAATACTGGGATTTGGACTTCGTCCAACCTGCGACATTCTAACAGGTAGAGAACTGTGTTTCGGTTACTGAATCTGTTTACGTACTCAGGCGAGCGAGGTGGTCCGAACTGCTTGGATGTCAGTCACATTACGTTCCTGGCATATGCACGTATGTACAGAGTTCTAGCTGATTTAAGCTACTGTTTCGCAATTAATCGAACCCGCGACCTTCCGATTTGTAGCACAGTGCTTCAACCAAATACGCCTCAGTGTATCCCACTTAAACATGTCATCGTTTACACTGTGTTGTTTTTGTTTCCGGAAGAGCTAACGGAACCGATTCTTTTCTTTTCTTTCTTTCTCTCGTATAGAACGTAATGTTAAGCATTTAAATAAAAACTGATTTTAACAATTCGAGTTTCATTCAGAAGGTTACAAGCTGGCTGTCTGCGTGGAATGTGTAGTACTCTGGTAGAAAATTCCGGTACTAATGCTTCCTACAGCCGGTCACGGTAGCCCNTTTACTTTAAAAGCTATTCTTACGCTCGTGTTTTTGAATAGTTTCGTAATTTTTCTTGTGTAACTTCCGTTACATTTTACTTTAAATGTTTTAAACTTTTAAATATTTTAACATTGACGGCTTAATTTGAGGGCAATTTTCAGATGGAATGCAAGAGTTGTACGTGCATTCAATGTTACTAGAAAGTGTTGTGCTTTTACACTTCGACATCTGTAACAGCGTCCACGCAGCTTACATACTGTGTACATTAAACAACGCCAGTGTTTTCATGTGTTTGTAATACGTGCCTCTGATGATGGTTTTTCTTGAACCGAAACATGTAAGGCAAGTGAGATAAATAAGTGACCTAAAAACATTGTTACACTCGACGGATTTTTCATTGACAATTTGTGTATTTGTTTATTCTATGTCTGTGTTGTCCTGTGTTTAGGTAGAGGCCTTGCGACAAGCTGACACTCGTCCAAGGAGTCCTACCGTCTGTAAAACGATCATGAAACTGAGAGACCAGGGCCCAAGGGGGCTGTAAAGCCAGTAAAAAAAAAGTTTCCTAAAAACCGTATCTTCTAGCCTGAAGATGTAGCCGAAAAGTTCCTCCGAAGTTTCAGTAACTCTGAACAGATCATACGGCGTCACGTCTTAGAAAACACCAATTTTCATTCCAACCTTTAAGGTATAGG